TTTTCTTCCTCTTCAACTCACTGCCCTCTCTCTGATTAGTAAATGGGTTCACCTGATTTCTCTCCCCACACACCTGCAGCTCATCTCCCTCTTATCCTCCCCTGTGTATAAAACCCTGTCTGTGTCTTTGTGTTTTGTCGGTTCAGTGTTCTTCTCAGTCTCGTCTCGTTCCTCTCTCTAGCGTCTAGTGTTTCTAGGTCTCTAGTGTTTTTACTTCTCGGTTTAGATATTAGGATTTTTGGACTTTTGGTTTTTGGTTCCTGCCTTCTGGGATTACTCCTAAATAAAGGATTTTTATTTTAATCATCCACCTCCTGCTTCGGGTCGGGGAACGGGTCCTGACTGTTGTTTGTGCTTATGGGCCAAATATCAGTTCAGAGTACCCACCCTTTTTGGAGTCCCTGGGACGAGTGCTAGATAGTGCTCCATCAGGGGACTCCATTGTCCTGCTGGGGGACTTCAATGCTCACGTGGGCAATGACAGCTTGACCTGGAGGGGTGTGATTGGGAGGAACGGCCCACCTAATCTGAACTCGAGCGGTGTTTTGTTATTGGACTTCTGTGCAAGCCGCAGTTTGGCCATAACGAACACCATGTTCGAACATAAGGATGCCCACCGGTACACTTGGTACCAAGGCAGCCTAGGTCACAGGTCGATGATAGATTTTGTAGTCGTATCATCTGACCTGCGGCCGTATGTTTTGGACACCCGAGTGAAGAGAGGGGCGGAGCTGTCAACTGATCACCACCTGGTGGTGAGTTGGATAAGATGGCAAGGGAACATGCCGCGTAGACCTGGCAGACCCAAACGCATAGTGAGGGTCTGCTGGGAACGCCTGGCAGAAGAACCTGTCAAGACGGTCTTCAACTCCTACCTCCGGCAGAGCTTTGACCACGTCCCGAGAGCAGTGGGGGACATTGAGTCCGAGTGGGCCTTGTTCCACTCTGCGATTGTCGAGGCGGCTGTTGCTAGCTGTGGTCGTAAGGTGGCCGGTGCCAGTCGTGGTGGCAACCCCCGTACCCGCTGGTGGACACCAGAGGTTCGGGGAGCCGTCAGGCTGAAGAAGGAGGCCTACAGGGCGTGGCTGGTCTGTGGGTCTCCGGAGGCAGCAGACAGGTACCGGATAGCCAAGCGGGGTGCAGCAGTGGCAGTTGCCGAGGCAAAATCTCGGGCGTGGGAGGAGTTTGGTGAGGCCATGGAGAAAGACTATCGATCGGCTCCAAAGAGGTTCTGGCAAACTGTCCGGCGCCTCAGGAGAGGAAGGCAGCAACTCGTTCACACTGTTTACAGTGGGGATGGGGAGCTGCTGACGTCAACTGAGGCTATAGTCGGACGGTGGAAGGAATACTTTGAGGAGCTCCTCAATCCCACCAATGCGCATTCCGAGGAGGAACCAGAGCTGGGAGGCCTGGGGATGGACTGTCCGATCTCGGGGGCAGAAGTTGCTGAGGTAGTCAAACAACTACACAGCGGCGGAGCCCCGGGGGTGGATGAGGTTCGTCCTGGGTATCTCAAGGCTATGGATGTTGTAGGGCTGTCATGGTTGACACGTCTCTACAACATTGCGTGGTCATCAGGGGCAGTTCCTAGGGAGTGGCAGACCGGGGTGGTGGTCCCCATCTTTAAGAAGGGTGACGTGAGAGTGTGCTCCAACTATAGGGGGATCACACTCCTCAGCCTCCCTGGAAAGGTCTACTCCAAGGTACTGGAGAGGAGGGTCCGATCGATAGTTGAATCTCAGATAGAGGAGGAGCAATGTGGTTTTCGTCCTGGCCGTGGAACTGTGGACCAGCTCTATACCCTTGCAAGGGTGATGGAGGGGGCATGGGAGTTTGCCCAACCAATCCACATGTGTTTTGTGGATTTGGAGAAGGCTTATGACCGTGTCCCCAGGGGCACCCCGTGGGGGACGCTCCAGGAGTATGGGGTGGGTGGCTTTCTGTTAAGGGCCATTCAGTCCCTTTACCAGAGGAGCGTGAGTTTGGTCCGCATAGCCGGTAGTAAGTCGGACCTGTTCCCAGTGAGGGTTGGACTCCGCCAGGGCTGCCCTTTGTCACCGGTTCTGTTCATCACTTTTATGGACAGAATTTCTAGACGCAGCCGTGGTGTGGAGTGTGTCGAGTTTGGTGGCAGGAGAATCTCGTCTCTGCTTTTTGCGGATGATGTGGTCCTCCTAGCTTCATCCAGCTCTGACCTTCAGCTCTTGCTGGGTAGGTTCGCGGCCGAATGTGAAGCGGCTGGGATGAGGGTCAGCACCTCCAAATCTGAGACCATGGTTCTCGACCGGAAAAGGGTGGCTTGCCACCTCCGGGTCGGGGGAGAGGTCCTACCTCAAGTGGAGGAGTTTAAGTATCTCGGGGTCTTGTTCACGAGTGAGGGTAGGAGGGATCGGGAGATCGACAGGCGGATTGGTTCGGCGTCTGCAGTGATGCGGACGCTGAGCCGATCTGTCGTGGGGAAGAGGGAGCTGAGCCAGAAAGCCAGGCTCTCGATTTACCGGTCGATCTACGTCCCAATCCTCACCTATGGTCATGAGCTTTGGGTAATGACCGAAAGAACGAGATCGCGGATACAAGCGGCCGAAATGAGTTTCCTCCGTAGGGTGGCCGGGCTCAGCCTTAGAGATAGGGTGAGGAGCTCGGACATTCGGGAGGGACTCGGAGTAGAACCGCTGCTCCTCCGGATCGAAAGGAGCCAGTTGAGGTGGTTTGGGCATCTGGTCAGGATGCCCCCTGGACGCCTCCCCGGGGAGGTGTTTCGGGCATGTCCTGCCGGCAGAAGGCCCCCGGGTCGACCCAGGACACGTTGGAGAGGTTACATCTCCAATCTGGTCCGGGAACGCCTTGGGGTCCTGCCGGAGGAGCTGGTGGACAAGGCCGGGGAGAGGATGGCCTGGAGCTCCCTAGTTGGGATGCTGCCCCCGCGACCCGGACCCGGATAAGCGGAGGAAGACGACGACGACGACACCTCCTGCTTCGTTTATCTGGTTTTCTGCATCTTGGATCCTAAACTTCCTCCTGAACCAACTTGTGACAGTTGGTTTAACATCCAGGAAACTGCAGAGAACAACTCGGCTAGGAGAAGCTGTTAGCATTAGCAACTTCACCACACAGCAGAAGCTCCTCCAGGGTTGTGTTATTTAAAACATCTACATTGCAAGTCAGTGGTAGAGTTGCGTTGCTGTTATCCAATCCGGGGCGAGAGGTCCAAATATTAGAAAATAAGTCTGAAGCTCAGCTTTGATGTGACTCATTACAATTTCCTGGAAATGGTGCTCCGGTAAACTTTTCCACCAGAGTACGACTTACAAGACATGAATTCCTTCTAGAGCAGTAGCTCAACAGGTTGAGCGGGTTGTCCAGTACTAGAAAGGTTGCAGGTTTGATCCCGGCTCCGGACAGTGAATTCTGCTGTTGTGTCCTTGGGCAAGACACTTAACCCATCTTGCCTGCTGGTGGTGGTCGGAGGGTGGCACCTGTGCTCGACAGCCTCGCCTCTTTCAGCGCACCCCAGGGCAGCTGTGGCTACATCATAGCTCATAACCATCAGTGTGTGAATGTGTGTGTGACTGGATGAATGATACATAACAGTGTAAAGCGCTTTGGAGTCCTTACTCTGAGAGGTGCTATACAAGTGTGGTTCATTTATCATAGAGACCACTTGGATGAAAACTGATATTACTGTTAATAATGTCTTTAATGGTTAGACATCTGGAGGTTAGACGAAGGTTCATCCATTTCTATTTCTCTGGGAACAGACAGGATTTGTAAGCTCTAACAGGGAGGACTGACCTTGCCCTCGGTACCAGACTTGGTGCTGGTGTCCCCCTTATCAGTAGTACTCTGGGTTATGGGCCAGACAGCTCTGTTGTTTTAGAAATTGCACCTGTTGTGTCTTCCTGCCTGAGAGGCCGTGAGAACCTCGAATGTTTGTGTGTAATTGTGTGTGCGTTTAACATTTTGTGTGTCTGCCTTAATAAATGCTTTCTGAGGGTTTTGTCTGATGAGAGCGAACTGACTACCGACTTGTGTGTATCATTTCATCTCTCCACTTTGCAAAGTCTAAGTTGTTTATTGTTGGTCGATTATTGGTATTGGTTATTGATCAGCTGATTATTATAACCCCTGTGTGTTGAACTTTCCCTAAGGTAATCCTGGATGGGAGATAAAATTACCTAACACCACTGCAAATGCTTGATTGAATGAGTGCTTTATACCTTTAAAGTCTAGATATTATATGTTGGTTTACATTATTTTAAAGTAGATGTTTCTGACAGAAGCTGCATTAGCACCCTGTGTCCCAGATTTTTTCTATTTTTGTTTCCACTGCAGTCCCACAGATTTTCTTGTTAGCTGTTTTAATGTTTTTACAGAAAGCAAAATTCTATATTGTTGTTTTGTTTTTTCTTGCTCCGCTCTAACTGGTCCAATTCTTCTCTAAGAGAAGCCAGAAACCAGGGTGCATGCTGGCACAGCTGTTGTCTTGCAACAATAAAGATGCAGGTTTGAATCCCAGTTTTTCTGCATAGAGTTAGCGTGTGCTCCCCGTGCACTTGTGGCTTTCCTCCGACAGACCAAAAAATATGCATGTTTGGTTATTTTTATTTAATTTTAGGCGTGAGTTAGTGTATGAGTGGTTGTCTCTGTTTGTCCAAATGATGGACTGGTAACCGGCACAGAGTGCCCCCTTCACCCAATGACTGCTGGAGTTAGACGCCAGCTCCCTGTGACTCTACTGAAGAATGAAACAAAGATAAGGGGTGAGATCTGAAACCAGGTGATTCTTCTCTCACTTCTAATCCCTGTGTTGTGCTAATGTGCAACCGCTCCATTAGCACACAAATAAGACAGTACATTGATTTTCTGATCAGTGTGGAAACGACTTGATTTGATGAGACAGCTCAGTTGGTATACCAGCTGCTCCTGTATATTTAACCCTTCGCCTCGTCGCTGTTTGTATAATCATGATAGTAAAGTTTCCATGCGAACAGCTTCCTCACCTCCTTCGTACTCAGGACAGTTCCCTGAGGTTTCGTTGAGGCTCTCCTCCTCCGTGATGATGATGTTCTCAATGTCCTTCATTGTCAGGTGGTCCCTGAAGGCGTGGAACAGCACCTGCTTCAGCTCATCCAGAGACAGCTGCTGCATGTCGAACTGCAGGGGCACAGAGATTGATGCAGAGATGCAACCGTCAGCACTCAGAACACAAACGGGCAAGTTTAAAGATAAAGAAGAACTTTAATGTGGAAAGGATGAAGAAGGGTTTGGAACATGATGCATTATGGAGACATGTGAGTTTAATGTAAAGAAGCAAAACTGAGGATTTTTCAGTGAGAAAACTCAATCAGTGCAATGACTTTGTCAGCCGATATGGACAAATTGGCACATTTACATCTTTGTGCTTAGCTGCGAGTACGTGTTCATGATTTATGATGCTGTCACCAGTGTCAGACTTGACGGCAGCCTCTTTCTGTCTGCCTTATTGCCTTCTCTTCTCTTCCAAATATTCATGTCCTTGCAACCTCAGCAGATTCCCTACCAAAATCCACTCAAACTAAACAAAACACCTACCCATGTGTCTTAAATATTTACCTCATTGATATCCTCAAAAGCAACCAGTCACACAGTTTAACACAACATATGGAGATACTAAGGCGGGCATGGCAAAGATGGAGAAAACACGGCGCCAATGGAGAGAGGATGGGAATGGAGAAAGGACAACGAGGTTCACGAAAAAAAAGATGAATAAAGTAAACAGATGGAGAAAAACACAAACTGGCACATTAAAAGTGGAGAAAATGACTGGAAACAACTCAGTTTATCCACTAAAACAGTATGCAAAACCCTCAACAGGTGCTTCAAACCTGGATGATGAGTTTCAAAATCAGTCACATCTCAGTGGTTCTGTTTTAATCAGAAGTCTGGTCACATGTCAAAGTGTCTGTGAGCAGGTCACTGCTCATCTGTGTGTGAGTCAAAGTCAAATGAGCTGCATAATTAGAAACATGAGGCTGTGTGACTGATAGGTGGATGAGAAACATGTTGTAATTAACCTTGAAGAACCTAACCAAGATAAAGAAACATGATAATGGACTTTTCATCATGGATTTATCCATAATGAATGCTTTATATGTATGATTATGTGTTGAGAATGTGTTTAGACCTGATTTTACATTTTAAAATAGGAAAATGTTCACTAATCCTTCATCCGTTTTCTTTTGCTTATCTAAAGTTGGGCCCAAGAGGTAACCCAGACATCCCTCTTACCAGCTCCTCCCGTGGAACCCTAAAGCATTCCCAGATCATTGAGAATTTCCTTGCTGTAGGATCTGGATCTGTCCTTGGATCTCTTCTTAGCAGGAGACCTCCACAGGGATGAACCCGGAAGGTTTTCTAATCAGATGCTCAAGCTTATTCCTTTTGATGTGTAACGATGGATCGTTTACATCTTGCTTATGAACCATAAAATGTGAGATTCCATAGAAATATGAAATATCAATCTGATGGATCTTTGAATATTTTAACCAGAAGATCAGAACTTTTTATTGCAGGGATTAAGTGACACTTCGTATTAACTCCAAGGAAAGAGAGAGAGTCAGGTTTAAAACAGATAAGAAATTTATTTCTACACAATTTAAACAAGACTAACTTTACCACCGAACCAACGGATCCGGAGAAGCATTTAGTTCTGAGTGGGAGTGAATGTTTCGCTCTAAACTTTAGTAGGAGATTTATAACACACATGAGACGCCATCTGCCAGTCTACGTACCCCAGGGGAAGCCTCCCTTTAGATCTAGAATGCCAAGGTCCTCGTGGACCTTCCTTGGAACCGAAGTCGGTAGAAAAGCAGCGGTGCCGACCAAACTAGTCTTGGAATGCTTCCAGGTCACGACAGGTTATCACTGACATCTCCGAAACCCTGAAGGGGTCGTGAGGTTCAGCTTTTATTCTGAAGGAACCGTTGCGGTCAGGTGTAACTTGCAACAGATTTTATCCACTTGTCGAGATTCTTTTGGCAGAAGAGGAAGTCCGGATGGCCTGTCCAAGACTTCTCTAGAACGCTTTGAACTAAAGAAAAGGTGGCGTGGACTAGTTTTTTATAATTGTCATATTTTGGTTTACTGGCGAATCAGAATTTGACATGCAAAAGAGGGTTTATACAAACACCTCAGAAAACCACGCCTCGCGTCAGATACGAAGGTTCTGATTGGATCAGACAAAAGGAAATGTGTCATGTGACTTAAACATTACTCTGTGACATCAGTATCTAGTGCAGCTGCCCAAGATTATAATTACTTGTAAAATACTACTGATCACAGGATTATAATATCAAGTAATAACATTTCACAGATTGACTGAACATTGGGTTCACATTATTATTGGCAATAAGAAACGTTGTTTGATTATGTATTTATCAAGAGAGTTCTTCGTCTTTGTCTTGAGCTGTAAAAGGTGAAGCGGGACTTCCGGTTATGGCTGCCATGTGAGAGGACGGGCGCACCACGGCTCCGCCACCAATTCTTCTTTAAAGCACTGACAGCTCCACTCAGACAAGAATAACAGAGGTTGAAGTTCTTTATGATGCCAACAACACGTAAGACAGACCCAGCGGTTAAGTCAGCAACCAAACAGCCTAAACTGACGGACCTCCGGATCAGCAGCGACACACCGAAAGTTAAGGAAATGGCTACGAGTGACGCAGCAACGGTGGTAATGAACGAAGAGAAAGCAAACGAGATTCTAGCAGCGATTAACTCATTAAAATCTGAATTCTCAGCGAGACTGGATAATGTCATGGAGGCAATTGAAAAGGTACGGAAAGAAACAAATGACTGTGTTGAACGAGTGACCCGGGCCGAGCAGCGTATATCAGGAGTAGAGGACGAGCTGCAAAGCCTGCAGGCCGACGTTAAGGATCTAAAAGAACACAAAGCAGCACTGGAAGATAAAATCCTCGACCTGGAAACTAGGACCAGGCTGAATAATCTCAGACTGATTAACCTTCCGGAGGGGGCAGAGGGACCGGACCCTTGTGTTTTCCTGGAAAAGTGGATCCCGGAGGTGCTGGGTTTGGAAACACAGAGCTGCAGCGTAGCACTGGAGAGGGCGCACCGCATCGGTCCAAAGGGGGACGCGGAGACACGGCCCAGAACTCTCATCATGAGGTTCCTTAGCTACAAAAGTAAAGTGGCAGTCATCACGGCAGCACGGAACAAGAAAGAAATCCGGTACAAAAACCAGCAGGTGTGGTTCTATCAAGATCTGGCGACAGGAGTCCATCAGAAGAGGAAACAATTCGACCCAATACGCCAGGAGCTGCGCAGGCTGGGAGTCAGACATGGAATAGTTTACCCCGCAAAGATGTTGGTTACTTACAAGGGCCAGGTCCATGCCTTCAAGAGCCCCGCTGAAGCGAAACAACTACTAAAAATAATCCAGGAGGAATCACCCAGAGCTAAGTGATAGTTAAAAAGGGGGAAAAAAAAAAAGAGGAAGAAGCTAATTGACCGGGAGGGATATAAAGAGCGAACTAAACCTGCTTAAATAATAGAATCAAATGGAGCGCTAATAATGTGGTGGATAGTGGTGAGACTGATTTTTTTGTTTGTTTGTTTCCTTTTACTTAGGTTCTGTATTTGGAAAGTGGTTGGACTTTTCCTCACTGAGGACAGGTCCCAGCGTAGCGGGAGACAGAGATGGGTACAGTTGCTCCTAAGCGAGCGAGGGAGAAAAAGAGTGTTATGAAAGTTCTGATTGTTCAAATGTTCCAGTTGGTTGTGCTTTTCAGGCAAAAGAACGGCAATCCAAAACAACAAACAAGTATTACATAAAATGAACATAGATATAATGTCCTGGAATTGCAGAGGCTTACAACAACCTATAAAGATAAAACAGGTAATGAATAAGATTAAAGATAAAAAGTCAAAAGTTGTTTTTTTACAGGAAACACATCTTCCAGATGAAGACATTTTGAAAATCAAAAGGAGGTGGCGGGGCATGGTTTGGTCGGCCTCAATTTCATCTCGGACCAGTGGGGTAATGATACTAATTCATAATGCAATTCCTATTCAGGCTAAAAAGATTATCAGAGATAAAAGGGGAAGGTATCTAATTATTCAAGGTAGACTGCTAGAAGAGGAGTTGGTGTTATTAAACTTATATGGACCCAATGCAGATGATCCCAAATTTTTCGAGGAATTATTTATGAATCTTTCCACATTGACAGGGCAATTCATAATTGCAGGAGATTTTAACTGCACTTTAAATCCTAGTCAGGACAGATCCACGGGAATAGATCAATCTCATATTAAAACAAGGAGTATCTTACAATATTATATGAAAGAGCTAAATCTAATTGATATATGGAGAGAAAGAAATCCACAGACTAAAACATATTCCTGCTACTCTTCAGTCTTCAAAACATACTCCCGAATTGACTATATTTTAATATCATCTACCCTGCAACACAAGATTCAAAGCTGTGAATATGATGTAATAGCCATATCAGATCATGCGCCATGTTGCATGATATACAAAGAGGATAGACTCTCAAAAGACCCAACAAGATGGCATTTCCAGAATAAGTGGCTACTAGAGGAGGATTTTATAAAATATTTAGGGACCCAGATCGATATATTTTTTGAAATTAACACAACACAAACATCAGCCGGTATTAGATGGGAAGCATTTAAAGCTTATATAAGGGGGCATATTATAAGTTATACTAGCACGAACCAAAAGAAAAAGAGGGAGACACAATTAAATATGGAAAATAGACTAAAGAATCTGCAAAAAAAAGTAAATGAAAGATACAACCCAACAAGCGAAAAAGAATTGCTGATTTTAAAGGCGGAATATGAGAAATTGTCAACATTAAGAGCAGCAGCGAGCCTACAGAGATTACGACAGAGCTTTTACGAACAAGGAGAAAAACCTGGAAAGCTTCTAGCATGGCAAATAAAAAGATTAGAAACAAAAATACCAATTACAAATCTGCGGTCGCAAGGTAACAATATAATAGAACCATCTGAAATAAATAATATAATTAGAGATTATTATGAGAAGTTGTATAGCCCTAAAACAGTTAAGATGCAGGATATTACAGAGTTTCTAGATAAATTACAAATACCAAAAATACAGAGAGAAGAAAGAG